ACATGTCTCCTTTTTCCTCCGTGGACCGCTCCCAATGGCTAACCATTTTTTAATGAGGAAGTGTGTGAGCAGAGGTTTTAGAGACCACTGCTCTGGAGAATCTCTGAAGCGTTGGGTCTGAGATGCTGGCCCAGAGCCGTCCAGCCAAGGAGGAAGGCCCAGCCTGTGTGGACAGGCTGAGCGGCCAGGTGGAACCTAATTGTCCTTGAGAGGGGGCTCGCCAACATTTGGGATGACTGTGCCCTGCGCCACCTCAGGGCTCCCTGCTACCTGGTCTCTAGGGCCAACCATGCATTCTTTCCTGAGGAGATGGGAGCAGGGTTTCTTAGAGGGACATGGGGAGAGATGAGAAGCCTAGGATGTTCTTCTGCGTGTGTGTGTGTGTGTGTGTGTGTGTGTGTGTGCGCCAAATTAGGACCTTGCAGGTGGTCAGTGGAGTGGCTCCTGTCACCATGGTTAGGAGCCTGACATCTTAGGACTTGTGTCCTAGTTCTCCATGTCTTTATTTCTGTTGTGACTTATGTTTGTGACAAATACTTCTGGTGGCCTAACAGAACCCCGTTTTTGGGGGGTGGAAATGTGCTCTATTTTTCAACATCCCTTAAAGGGAGAGGTGACCACATGATGTGTGTCTAGCTAGCCCATGGGATGTGAGCTGAAGTCCTGGAGAGGGCCTCCCAGTGGGCTCTTCCTCTGGGTCAGACTCATCTGGCATGCCCACGTGCATCTTTCGCCCTTCATATTCCTGTTTTTCTTGCCTGAAACACAGCGTGATGCTGAGCAGATGTCCTGTGACCACACAGTGACCAGGAACAGGATGGATAGCTGAGTGGAAAGACAGAAGGAGCCGGCTTCGTAAGGCCCTGGTCTGTCCTTCGCAGACATTTTGTGACGGGAGGAAAATAAATGTCTACTTGCTTCAGCCCCTGACAGTGGGTTTTTCGGTTGCTCCCAGAGGAGTGCAGTGCTAGCAAACATGAAGCTCAACTCGCTGACCCTTTAGTTAAGGCTGTTGACTTCATGCAAGACGTGGACACCTTGAGAGTTGAAGAATGCGAACATCTCCTCTTTGGGAGCCCTTGTTCCCCCTCTGTCCCTGGCAGTGGTAGACATAAGCTGTTCTGCTACTTTCAAGCCCTTGGAGGAGAGAGGCATTGTGCTGGGCCTTTAAGAACAACTACTTCTGTTAAGAATGTGGGAAGAGAAAGTCAGGGTGGTGCTGCTGGAGCTGGCTGAGCAGGTTTGAGAGAGCTGCGGGTGCATATCTCTTATAAACACTGGTGATGTCAACTGGTGGCTTGAAATCAGCCGTGGTGGGAGTGTTCACATCACGGGCACAGCAAATTCACACACCAGGGCTTCTCCCCTTTCCTTCTCTTTTTTTGGAGAAAACATCCACCAACACATGCTTGGAAAGATCAAAGGTTTCATTTATAACAACATCAGTATTGTTTCATAGCTTCTCTTACTTCCCCCATGCAGTCCAATGAGTGACGAGTGAGCAGAATCAGGGAGCTGCTGATTTATACTGAACACACATGTAAGGGAGAGGCATGTATGTGTATGCTATTTTAACAAAAAATGGATCATAGTATACATATTTGTAAGCACCGTGTTTTATATACTTAACAATATGTCATGAAGATCCTTGCCTGTGAGTACATAGAAATCCACTGCATCCCTTTCTATCATTATATAGTGATTTCATAACATTGATTCCCATGGGTAGACATTAAGGTTTTTAATTTTTTGGTCAGGGTTAGCCCTAACCACGAATGTAATGTTTAGAATTTTTTTTTTGTTTTCCTAACAGGTTCTTGCAGTAAGAGAATATCTTTGTTTTCTTAAAAATCTGCTGGATGGCTTCAAGTTAGAGTCAGAATCCATGATGAATAAGGGGAGGGGAAGGCCACTGGGAGCTGAATTCCCTGGGGGTCAGAGTCATACTGGAGGTGGAGCCAGGAGGAAGCACTTTGAAAGAGACATGGCCAACGGCGGTCTTTGGAGTTAGATGACGCACACTGATGAATGTAAATTCAATCCTCCTTCTTACCTCCGAAATATTAGGAACATGCAACAGTGCTCACTCAGTAAGAGTGGAATTGCTTTTGGAATCCACAAAGAAATGCTGGCCAGCGTGGCTTAGTGGTTGAGCATTGGTCTATGAGCCAGGAGGTCACAGTTCCATCCCTGGTCAGGGCACATGCTCAGGTTGTGGGCTCAATCTCTGGTGTGGGGCAAGCAGGAGGCAGCCGATCAATGATTCTCTGTCATCACTGATGTTTCTCTCTCTCCCTCCCTCTCCCTTCCTCACTGAAATCTATTAAAATAAAAATATATATATTTTTTAAAAAAAGAATAGGGAGAGCAAAGTTGGGGAATTGATGAGTACCGGATCTAGTTTCAGGTGGGTATTCAGTGTGGTGGCTTGGTTAAAATTGGGTAAGGACCATGATGCAGTGGTTTGGGGTTGGTGAGCATAGTGAAGTGAGGGTTCCAAAGGTTAACGTGAAAGGTTAACGGTCATTTTATGTTGTCTGTTGAAAAGTTGAGGATTTAGAATGGATTTGTAACATTTATCTTTCTGGACAAAAGTTGCCTGGAGTAGTAAAGTCATGCTGATAAAGACAATGAATTGTAATGTCATGCTAATGAAGACAGTTAACCAGGAGCCCTCAATGATTTCAGTTCTCAGACCTAATTTTTTGGGCCCTGGAATCCCTAACCATGGAAGCACTACGTTTGGGAGAGTTGAGTTCATGTTGGATATACATACAGCCTGTCCCTCCAGAACACTCTCCATCCTTTTCCACCCTGCTCTGTGCATGGGGAAAGCTGACCTGTTTAGTTTATATCCATCTGCTCCCTTGCACCTCTGTTCAGTTAATAGGAAATATCAGCAAGAAATCAGAGAGTGATGAGAGTGAGCCTGGGGCATTTATTCCTCCAGGTTCCTCCTTCAAGATCCTTAGTGGGCTGGTTGCATTCCTTAACTGAATGGCATAGCTCCTGCCACATGGCACTCTCCAAACAGTTCTTTTTATCTCTGGGTTTTCATAACAGTTCTCTCCTCTTGTCCCTACTGGGGCGGGCCCAGGCTTGAAAACAGCCTCAACCAGCCCTGATATACATGTTATCTCTTGTGATTGCCCTTTGGTATTGCCCACACTTTTTGTAAATAATCCCTTTGTTATTAAACTCTATTAAAAATGATCCAATTCGCCATCTCTTCCAAGTTTGGGGCCTGACTAACAAAGGTTTTGTTGAGTTGTTAATGTAACTGAAGTCTTGTTTTCTATTTGGTGATATTCAGCTGATACCTGGCAAGTGTTGGATAAATATTTGTTGACCGAAGGAATGATTAAATGTGTGAATGGCAGGACTTGAACTCCAACTCCTTCTCTCCAAATGTCTAAAAAAACAGTTGAGCATTCACATGTAAAGCATTGATGCTTTATGCATTCTGAGTGCAACAGATGAGCACAGGCTGTGTGGCTCAAGTTTCTAGAGACCTCCACTCTGGGGGTTTCCCCTAGTGATTCAGACCCAGGTGTCCTCCTTCCTAGAGAGCAATAACAAAGAATAGAAAAAGTATCTGAAATATACAGACTAGTGAAGACATCATTTACTTATGTCAATTAAATGAAGAGTAGGGTGATTTCATCAACTCAAAAACAATGAAAAGATTCAAACCATAAAGTAAGAAATGAACACTGATAACTTTTACTTGTATAGGTTATGGTTTTAAAGGCATCATACTGAATGGACTAAAGTTACAGCTACCAGTTATGATTTGGAAAGTTTATATGACCTCTATTACAATTTATTATACTAAGCATCAGAACATTATTATATACTAGAGGCCCAGTGCACAAAAATTTGTGCACTCGGGGGGTCCCTCAGCCCAGTCTGTGTCCTCTTGCAGTTTGGGACACCTCAGGGGATAACCACCTGCTGGCTTAGGCCTGCTCCCCAGGGGATAGGGCCTAAGCTGGCAGTCAGACATCCCTCTGGCAGCCCGGGAGCCCTCAGGGGATGTCCACTTGCC